GAACCAAGTTGTTAAGAGAATGTTTTGTATTAACTGTATTTACTGTGTTATCTGTGAGTAGTAGTGGCTGCCCTCTGGAGACCCAACCTCACAATTCAAGTTGAAGAGTACTGCTATTTCTCCTCCTGGCAAAGACAAAAGTCACTGTGACTGGCGATGGCCCAAGTGGGTGACCTTGGCTTTTTAAAATTAAGATCTTTCCCAGGTTTCAAGTTTGTCTGAGGCAACACCCAGATCTTAGTTTGTCTGAGGCAATACCTATTCAATGACTGAGGGTTAGGTAATAATTGAGACAAAAGATGGCTTAGTTTACCTTCACAAAAGTGTTAGTCTGGGAGAAGACCCTATAAGTTTCTGGCCAGAACAGAATACAATTGCTATTTACACTGATTTCTAAGCCATCAACACCTAAACAATGAGCAATGGAGGCTTGGGTTGGGGGCTATTATTGGTCATTCAATGAATGCCAGAAAGATTTGGGTTTAAAGGTATAGTTAAGTAGTTCCATTTGAGTCACAATGGGCTTTTTCTAAATAACCTGTTTTTTCAGAGCTATATTTCTAGAAATCATAAATGAAAACTGCACAGGACAAAAAAGTAAATTGTCCAAGCTTTTTGAGAGGGAAAAAAAAACTAATAGAAATAAATAAAATAATTTGAATAATTTTTTTAAAATCTAGCCCCTAAACTCTAAAATATCTTACAAAATACAAGTGACTAAAAATTCTATTCCTATGGACAGAATATTCACATGTAAGGGTATGTTGAGATTTAGGGGGGTTAGGGATGCTGGGACCTCAAAATCACAACACACAGGTCCTGTCTGAAACAATTCAACCCAAGCTTTCTTTCAGCCAAAGACAGGGTTTTTTAGAATATCCATCATATTAGCCAGACTCTTAAAGAATCTGAGCATCTGGCTAGATTAAAAGAATCTGAGCACCTTAATGGAGACAAGATGGACCTTATATACAGAAAGAGTGTGGGAGGGATCTAGGAGTTTGGGGTGACTAGAGGAGAGGTCTAAGGAAGATCTGGATGGGAGTGGCCATTAAGTTGGGGTGAACAGAATGCCTGGGACCACGTGGCCAAGGGAGAATGGAGTCTAGATAGGATTAAGTTATTTCCTTCAGATAACCTCCTGAAGTGCAAGTGATGCCAATTGGGGGAAAAAAGAAAAGAAAAAAAAAGGAGCTCCTGAACTCCCCAAAATGGTCATTCCTTAAAAGTCCATTTCTCATGATTATTATTTGGTCACCTATGTTCAAGGAAAGAAACACAAGGCAGAAGCAGCAACAGCAGCTCAGGGCTTTTGGCCCAGGCTCAGAATCTCAGAGGCAGCACATACACTAAGCTGCCATGAAGAGGAGTCATTAGAGAGATATCTTCTTTCCTCTTCCTGCCATGGGAAGTCTCAGTGAAAGAGTATCACATCACACATTCTGAAGAATGGAAGGAAAGAATGAGAGCAGAAGTTGTCTTTCCTTTGTTCCAAGGATTTTCTTTCTTTTCCAAAGTGGAGTGGGGGGAAGGTAGAGGGATAAAAAAAAATGCTTGCTAATTGAAATATAATTTAAAAAAATTAAAAATGTAAAGTTTCAAGTCTACTTAGTGGACAGCTCATTCTGGCTCAATGGCCAATCAAGGGATTGTTTAGTCATCTCAAAGCAGTGTTGAGCCATTGCCCACCAGAAATGGGTAAGTGTCCTGAAGATCAGGAGGCCTCACATGTTGTGAAATGGGGATAATAATACCTCTAGTGCCTACCCTCCCTGGTTACCAGGATCAAATGAAATAAAATATGTAAAGTGCTTTGTAAACCTTTTGAGTACTATAGAAAGTTCAGCTCTCATTATTATTGAAATGATCTAACACAGTGGACTACTAACTAGTGATTCCTACCTTATAGTTGTGGCATGCATTTTAATTACTGCTGTTAAACACAAAGCTGCTTTCCAAACCATTCTCTACAGCCTGGGGTTTAGACTTCAAGGAACTTTGTTGTTAGGTTGAATCAGGGCTTGTTTACCTTGGATTGGATTTATTTGTTTTTCTCCAAGAGAGACTTTTTGGTTTAAGTAGTTAATCCATTGTAAGTTTGGATTTCCTATGGAGAACATAGATTTTCTCTAAACAGAGTTCAATATAATTTTTTTTACACTTGATTAAATAGCTTATGTTATTAAATTTTGTTATTTATTTGTTATTTGTTTTATTATGTTATTTAAAATTATGGGTTTTTTTTTTTAAATACAAAGACTAAATGGACTTTATCATTGCTTGGCTGTAGGCCTGCCAGTTTTCTTCTGGAATCTAGGAAATAGTTTCTCATGTTTCCACCTGATTGATAACATAGTCTCTGTGGACATCTGTGAATCCATACCATGTGGAAAGTATCTGACCCTAAACACTGAGCTGGGACTTCCTAATATGCAAAGAGTTTGGAAAATTAGGAAGAAGACTATTAGCACTCATGCTGATCCCCTGAGAATTTTTACATCAATTAATTATATCCAACCACCTTATTTCAGGTCAACTATAATCACCCCACCAACTATGCCCCACTTGCCCAGGGAACAAAAAGAATCTTCCTAAGCTCCTTCCCGTAGGTCAATCGAATACTGAAATTAAGGGAGGTTAAGTGTAAATACATTTTGGGTTTTGTAGAGATTTTCAAAATTGCCCAATCTGCAGGGGAAGAAAAACCCACTGAGGCAGAGCTCTGAGCCAATGACACTTTATAAAAAGGTCCATGGCCCCCTCTAATGAAGTGAACCTCAGATCTTTCTCATGATATGAGATGCCCACTTCCTCCAGGACCTTGGTTTTATAGTACTTGATACCCGTACAATACAGGTGGAGCAGGCCAAAAATACAAAGTCTGATTGGTGGATAGGCCTTGCCCATGACCCTCCAGGAGAGTCTACACAAAATACGGGACCCCATTGGTTAACAAATGGGTTAGCAAGCAGACATTAACAGATCTATCTTGACCTTTCCGGAGATCCTACCAAAGTCAATGAGCATACCCATGGCCTAGTAGAAAGGCAGGCCACAGGCTGGCAACCAGGGTCACTCTTTGGTTATGTGCTTGTGGTCATCTCCCCATGTTGGGCAATAGAGGGATGACAAGGGATGGAGGAGCAACAAAAATAATTGGAGGAGTTTCCATATAATTGAGTCACTTTTGTCATGCTGGGCTTGGTCATCATAACAAAGAAAAACAAGGGTGGATATCCTCTAGTTAACTTCCTGTGATTAAGCAAGTGAACTCACAATCTGTGGGACACAGCTCTGAGGCCTACTATCAGACTAATAATCACCACCCCAGTAGAGTCATATCAAACTGATTAACACTGATTGGGATAAAATAGAGGTCCAATCTATGCCCAAAGGGCTATAAAAATGTGCATACCCTTTGACCTGCAATACCACTTCTAGGGCTATATCCCAAGGGATCATACAAATGGGAAAAGGAACCATATGTACAAAAATATTTATAGCAGCTCTTTCTGTGGTGGCAAAGAATTGAAAATTGAGAGGATGCCCATTAATTGGGGAAGAGCTGAACAAGTTGTGGTATATGAATGTAATGGAATACTATTGTGCTGTAAGAAATGATGAGCAGGCAGACTTTAGAAAAACCTGGAAAGACTTGCATGGACTGATGCTGAACAGGAGAATGTTGTACACAGTAACAGCCACATGGTGTGATGACTGATATTGATAGACTTAGTCCTTCTCAGCAGTGCAAGGATCTAAGATACCTCCAAAGGCCTCATGATGGGAAATGCTATCCACATCCAAAGAAAGAACTATGGAGTTTGAATGCAGATCAAAGTATACTATTTGCTATTTTTTTTTCTTCTGCTGTGTTTTGTTTCCTCTTTCTGGTGGTTCCTCCTATTGGTTCTAATTCCTACTTACACCATGACTAATGTGAAAATATGTTTAATAGGAATGTATATGCATAGCCTATATCAGACCAGAGGCAGGGAGTGTATCACTAATAGTAAAGAACCTAAGAGGAACCTCACCTAAGGTAGACTATCCCCCCCTTCCTGGATGCTGCCTTGCTTTTGTCTCAAAGGCTTATCTGAACCAGGTCTAGGGGTCAATTTATAAACTCTCCTGTTTATGGAAACTTGGTCTAGCTTAGGAATACTGTCCTCATGTACCTTCATTGTAACTTCCAGTTGGCATCACCATCTGCTTCTCTTTTGAAAGGTCTATTGAATCATCAGCTTCTCCAGTTAGGCAATCAATAAGGCTACTTTTAATCATCTTGCTCCCATATGATCATCCAGAAATAGGAAGGGTACTTCCTTGCCTTGTTACAGAAGTGACTTATGGGATCATAGATCGAAAGCTGGAAGGAAACCTCTAATGCCATTTAGTATAAGCCCTTCATTTTATGGATGAGGAAATTGAGACCTAAGAAAGATAATGAAGAACTATATAGAGGTATGTATAGACATTGAGGAATTCAGAGGGGTGGAAGAAGTGTGAGTCCTGAAGGTCATGAAAGGCTTCCTGGAAGTGGGACTTAAGCTGAACTTTGAGGGCAAGAAAATGAGGCTGGGTAGAGAAGGAAGGAGCAGCAAAGGCATTCCACATGAGTGGCACAGTGCAGAAAGTATATTTGGGGGACGGGGAGGAGACCAGCCTAACAAGGCAGAGGCTATGTTCTAGGGAAGCATGGAAAACAGGTGGGTGGAGGAGGTGGGAGGAGATCATAAAAATCTGTGAAAGATGAGCAAAGGACTTTGAAGGTCTCACCCACCAGAGAATCTTTGAAGGTGATTTTTCTTCCTAAGGCACGTTAAGGGGGTGTTCAATATCAGCCTTGTAACTGGAGAAGTATGGCATAGGAATGTGTGTGTGAACTCAAGCAGTTGGACAAAAAACCAAAACAAAACAAAACAGAAAACAGGATGGGGAAACAGCACATTCCTGCCCTAGGAAAGTAGGTGCACTAATTAGTGGAAAATGATGGCATTATATCACAATTAAGTTTTATTTAGATGGTGCAGCTGATCAGAATGGAGATGACCCTGGGTGCTCAAAAGCTGTGCTGGCAAATCCCAGGATGTGACAAGTTCTACCAAACCGCAAAGGCTTCCAGCATGATTCTGTCATCTGAAGAGCAGTCTACCTAAAGAAGGTATAAATGAAAAAGCATTTATTAAGCACTTACTGTGTGCAAAAGCACAATGCTAAGCAATTAGGATTCAGAGAGAAGAGAGGCCCTACTCCCAAGAATAGGAATGGGAGCGTTCTAATAAGGAAAGACAACCAACCCACAGAGAAGGATTCAGCAGCAATTAGCCCTGTGCGCTTAGGATCCAGCAGCAGGGCAGTTATGATAGTGCATCTTCCTTAATGTCATTTCCAAACCGTACTCAGTGCTGCTGTTAAGCCATTTGATGATGGTGGATGTTAAGAAGGTAGGAGCTATGGTACTAGTAGAGGAAGTTACCTAGTCACATCTTTTCAAGGGTTGCTTCTCTGGGGGATGGCTGAGGAATAGAGGAGGTCGGGGCTCAAAGCAGGGCTGAGGGTGCGCAGGTAAGTGGGAGCCTAGGGCTACTGTTCCCAAAGCTCTTGGACTTACCTACCCATCAGGGGCAATTTGTGTTGACGAGCATGACAGATCCCTTCTCCACAACTGGAATGATGACTAATGGGGCTAGAGGAGAAAGGATGCAGTCAGGAAGTAGGGCTGGTAGTCTGGGGCATGCTGGGATCCTGGGCAAAGGCTGGCTCCATTGGTGTGTGAAGAAGGTGGTGGTCAAGACTATAGCAGTGATTTCACCCTTTTGGCACATGTTACCTCTTGGGTCACCCTCAGGACAGTCTGTCCTTGTTTTCTCTCCCTTGCATTTTAACTCAGGCTACTTCGCTTGCCCTGGCAGAGCAGCCCATGAAGAGACTGTCTACCAAGGAGTTGGGAAGACTGCCCTCTGTGTCCAGAGAGGAGGGAGCCACACCATCCTGGAAATACTGAAGTGTAAATAATGCCACTGTCTGATGCAGTTGTACAAAGGCAGGCACAGTAAAAGGGGAGCAGCCCTTTGGCCTCTAGACAGAGGGAGACCCTGAGAGTGAGTACTAGAAAACAATTTAATAGAAAAGAATACCGAATTCAGAGACAAGATAGCATTTAGCAGTCTTGTTTGTGCCCCTCACGTGACACTTCCTGCTCTGGAAAATAAGATGAAGGTGGAGGTTGCTAAGAGTAGAGCCTCAAAATGCTTGAATCCCAGGTTTCAACTCCTTGTCTTAATGCAAGTAAAGGGGAACTGATGAATTGGAGAGAGTGTCATGTCCATAGGGAAGGGGTACTTTCTCTTTCAAGTAGGCTTCTGGGTGGTGGATAGAACACTGGGTCTAGAATCAAGAAGACCTGAATTCAAATTCTGCCTTAGACACTAAATTAGCTGTGTGACCCTCCGCAAGTACTTAAAGATCTTTCAGCCTCAGCTTCCTCATCTGTAAAATAAGGATAATAATAGCACCTACCTCCCAGGGTTGTTGTGAGGATAAAATGAAATAATACATCTAAAGTGTTCTGTAAACCTTAAAGTATTATATAAATGCCAAGTGAAATGGGATTTTTTCATTTTTGTCTTTGTACCCCCATGCATGGCACACTGCCTTGCATATAAAAGATACTTAAAAATAAATGTCTGTTGAATTACTTAACAGAAGGGTCAAGGACCACCTGCCCTGAGGGAATCTTGTGTGTCTAGGTGGAAAGACTCCTCCACCCCCTCCCTATTGGTCTACATCAAAGCTTTAATTTAACCAGAGACCAAGTCTATTCTGGCTTTGTGGGAGCTTTGTACTTCTTAGCAGACAGAGCCTCCTTGGGAACATTCATCTCAAAAGCTCTAGAAACAGATATTTCCGTTTATACCAGCAAATCCTATTGCTCTAGTCCAGTGAACTTTAACATTCCCCTTAATTAAAATCTTCCTTGCAGGAACCTGAGGTCCATAGAGTTGCTGAGGGCTGTTATTTACTGTTTCTGTTGTTGGAGTTGGGGAGATGAAGAGAGGAATGAGATGGTACAGAAAGTTCAGAGTGGTCATATACTAATAGAATTATTGAACCAGAGAAGTCAAGAGTCTTGGCCCAGCAGTAGTAATGTGTTGGCAGAGAGACGGAAGGACATGCCAAGAAAGTAATGCCATTTTAGAACAAGCCTTCATTTCAGCCATATCTCACCCCTATGTTTTGTCCTCTTTTACACCAGATCTTGGGCAAAAGTAAGCAAAAGACGAACAGTGGACTCTGTCTCAGACCCCAGAAGTCAGTGATACACTGGCAGAATAAGAAGTTTCTGACCTCTCCCTGAAATGTGACAGACTTCACCCAAGGCCAGTGGCTGACATGTTATGAAGCCAGCACCATTATGTCTTTTGAGTACAATAAGGCTTTATGTGGGAAATGGCTTGTATTGAGAAGCCTGCTTACCTCATAGAGATTCCCTTCCCTATGTACCAATCTATGTTTCTGCCTGCATTGGATTGTAACTAGGGATGAATTAAAGCCTTTGACTCATTTGTACCCTGAATTGTAAACAGTAGGTTGTCATTCCACAATGCTAGCCATATGATCTTGAATAAGGCAGTGCATTTAAGATCACAAGGTCATAGAACTGAGAGAGAAAAAAACTATTTGCAGCAGCACTTTTTATTAAAGCAAAGAACTGAAAACAAACTGGTTGCCTATCAATTAGAGGAATAGCTAAATAAGGCATGGTGGCACAGTGGGTAGAGGGCCAGGCTTGGAGTCATGAAGACTCATCTTCCTGAGTTCAAATCTCACCTCAGACACTTATTGGCTGTGTGACCCGGGGCAAGCAACGTGACCCTGTTTGCCTCAGCTGGAGTTGCAAACCACTCTAGTATCTTTGCCAAGAAAACCCTAAGGTCACAGAGCTGACAGGACTGAAACCACTGAACAACAACATAAATGTAATGGAATATAATTGAACCATAAAAGCTAATGATAGGATAGTATTTAGAAAACAAGTGAGCAGAACCAGGAAAACAAGTTATACAATGACTAGAATATTGCAAAAAAAAAAAAAAACGGGGCAGCTAGGTGGCACAGTGGGTAGAGCATTGGCCCTGAAGTCAGGAGGACCTGAGTTCAAATCTGGCCTCGGACCAAACATTTGACGCTAGCTGTGTGACCCTGGGCAAGTCACTTAACCCCAATTGCCTAAAAAATAAAACAAACAAACAACTTTGAAAGACTTATGAACTTTGATCAATGAAATGACTAAGCAAGATGACAGATGATGAAGCATATTTCGTACCTCTCCACAGAAGGGGGATGGGAATGACCTGTAGATGAAGAATAAGATATATATGTTCAGCCACAACCAAAGTATGAATTTGTTTTGCTCAACTATAGTTATCTGTTACTCTGGAGGGATTTTATTGGGTAGAGGGTAGAGTTGTTTTTGGGGGAAAGGGGAGTGATAGTAATAAAAAAAGAAAAAAGTACTAAGGAAATATTTTTAAATACACAGAAAAGAGCAGAAAAAAGACAGAGAAGCAGGCCAATATTGATACTACCATGTTAAATTTTATGCTTAAAAAAATAAGCTGTCTAGGGGGCAGCTAGGTGGTGCAGTGGATAGAGCTCTGGCCTTGGAGTCAGGAATACCTGAGTTCAAATTCAGCCTCAGACACTTGATGTTTCCTAGCTGTGTGACCCTGGGCAAGTCACTTAACCCCAACTGCCTCACCAAAAAAAAAAAAAGTTTAAAAAAATAGGCTGTCTAGAGATTCACAGTATCTTTTACTGTTCTTTATAAGTAAAAATAAAATTTGATGTTTGCCATTCAAAGTTTTTTAAAAAGAAAGAAAAATTTTAAAGGATTGAAAGCTGGAAGTGACCTCAGACATCATTTAATTCAATGTCCTCCTTTACAGATAAGGAAACCAAGGGCTAGAGAAATGTAGTGGTCTGCCCAAGGTCACTTAGGTAATAAGTAGCTGGATGACTTGAATCAAGGATCTTTCATCTGTAAATGCAGCACTCTTTCTAACCCTACCTCTCAAGAAATGCTTCTCTTTCCAATTAAGGGGTTCAGATTGTCAGTAACTGGTTCCCCAAAAGCATGGCAGTGAGGGAAAACAACATTATAGGGAGGTTGCAGCATTAGGAATCTTAGGCACGTCTGACGAGTTTGATAGCAACACAGTCGCTTTTGTGATAGCCATCTTTAAGTATTTGAAAAGCTTTTTGTAAGGAGATAACAGAATTAAGAGCAATAGGTAGAAATGGCAAAGAGAGAGAGATTTGTGCTCAATATAAGGAAAACTTCCTAAAACGGAGAACTACCCCAAAAATCAACAGTCTGACTTAGGAGCTAGTGAATTCTCCCTCATTGGATGTGTGCCTTAAAGAAGACGTTGGACAGCCACTTTTTCTGTTACGTTGTATGAGCACTCTTCCATGGCTACTTTTGGTCTCTAAGGCCCCTCCAACCAGATCTGGGGGTTGGGGGAGGGGAATCGTTTGTACAACACACTTTAAAGTTTAATCTTCATTACTAACATTTTCTCCATCGCTTTCTCAAGTCTAGGCAATCAACAGAACAATAAATCTAGAACTGTTTGCTGAATTCTTTCACTGAAAATTTAGTGGTTCTCTCACGTGGTCCAGGTTCGCCCCAGCTTATTGGCCACTCCATTCCAGATCCTCCTTCGACCTCTCCTCCAGTGGCCCCAAACTATTTGGCCATTCCTTGATCCCTCCCACAGTCTTTCTGTATACAAGGTTGATCTTGTCTTCATTAAAGTGTTCAGATTCTTTAAGAAACTAGCCAAGGGCTCCGATTCTTAAGATCTGGCCTGCTTGCATTAGCAATACAAATGCTTAGATTCCTTAAGAATCTGGCCAATTTGACTGATGTTTTAATTAACCTTGTCTTTGGCTAAGAAAAAAAAAGATAATTTAGTGGTTCCCATAATTCTATCATTTACCTTCTTGAAATTCTGGCGTTCTTTGACAGCCTGCCTTGAGCTTCACAGTCCTACACCCTCTGATTCATAGGGCCACTAATACACCATGTTTTACAAATCAAAATTTCTTTGTAGGGGGGCAGCTACGAGGCGCAGTGGATAGAGCATTGGCCCTGAAGTCAGGAGAACCTGAGTTCAAATCCGACCTCAAACCAAACACTTGACACTTAGCAGCTGTGTGACCCTGGGCAAGTGACTTAACCCCAATTACCAAAAAAAAAAAAAGAAAAATAAAAAAAATTTCTTTGTAGGACCTAAGTGTCCCAGAAAGAGAACCCAAGGATTTTTTGTTGTTATCACCTCATCATAGTCGAGTAACTTTGAAATCAGAACTATCCCAAGAGATCTTAGGAGAGAGGCAAGGAAAGAATGAGAGGGAACCTAGGACTCTATGAATTCATTCAACAAACTGAGGTATCTTTCTTTTCGTTTCCTCTGTTCCTCACCAGAAACAAAAATTTGACCATGTAGCAACCCATTTTTAGTTGTTAAATATGGCCACTCTAATTGATGTTTAGACCTTCTCCCTTACAACCTTAAATTGGATGGATCCTTCATCCCTTAATGAAAATTTCCTCTTAGCCCACCTCTCTTCAGACAGCAGGCAGGGTGTAGTGCCCTTGACCTAAACCCACACCCTGAT